ATATGTAAAAAAATGAATAAATACATATGACCAAAGGTGTGTGTGTGTGTGTGCGTGTAGGTACGTAGGTAGGTAGGTAGGTAGGTAGGTAGGTAGGTAGGTAGGTAGGTAGGTAGGTAGGTAGGTACACACACACATATACTTTTTTAATTATGTACATTTACATATACACATACACACACACACACACGCTGAGAAGTCCTATAAACCCTTAAACTTAAATCCTGCCCTCTTTGATCTCCTGGAGTCCCGACCCCGCCTTGCCCCAAAGCTGTGGCTCGCTGGAGCCACTGGCAGAGGTACTGGCGGAGGCCGATCGGATCATAGGTGCCTCAAATACGGTTTAGGGTTTAGGGGGTGTAGGGTTTAGGTGTCTCCCACGCAGCTGCAGTAATTGATGTGTGGGATGGCGCCCCTGCACATGCAGGGGTGTGATGCAGCAGCGTATCCGCGGCTAGTTTTGGTTTCTCCACCCAAGACATTTCACCTTTTACAGTAGGGTTCGGGGCTGGTGCGCTGCATTCCTGGGCCCAAACGGCTGAGGAGCCTGTTACCGCCTGTTGCACGTGTTTCGGTCCTGGAGGGCCTCTGGTGGGTTTGCAAGGGCGTTGCTCGCTTCGCCTTTACGAGTGCAAAGGCCCCTTTACACCTGTGGTGCCTCTGCAGGCCTTTGAAACGAACATGCAAAATTTCTTCTCGCACATCTGATCGAATCGTAGTGGCCACATGCAGAAGATTCGTGCTCAAGCGCATGGGCTGTCTGTCGCCGGAGTCACCGGAGTGACATATCCCAGGTACAGAGCCGAAACCACACGGAAATGTTCCTCAGACCCGGATGCCATTTCTTCTGCCGACATCATGGCCACCAAGAGCGACTTCACAACAAGTATCGTTTATGAACCTCTTTAATCATCACGTCCAGTATCAGTATCACCAGCATCATTAGCACCTCCTGCTGCACTCTGACCCGAAGCAGAACACCCCGGCCTCGCCTGGCAACGTGAGTCAGCAACAAGGACGCGAGAATCGTCGAATTGAGCAAATGGCTATGGCAGCTTTCATCTGCAAGTGCTGAGGGTGCCTTCAACCTCCGGCTCTGGATAATGCAACATGCGCCGAAACATAAACAACACTGCATGTTGCATCCAAACGGGCAAACATACCAAGACATGATCCCACAGATCATTACAGATCCAAGACGGTTTCGGGTTTTGAATGCCGCCCCTAGACTTGACAGCCCACAACCCTCCGTCAGGGTCAAGGTTTAGACTTCACGATGACGAGTTCGTGAACCTGAAGACCGATCCTTGGTGCTGGTGTTGTTGGATAACCACTACGGTACCACCAGCAGAATCAGGTTTTGCTATGTCCTAAGCACCGGCAAGACGAGACGCTTCAATCCAGCAATCCTCTGCAACTACACACAAAGACAAAGATGATACTGCAGCTGCCCCTGTTGACTTTTTGGAACAAAATTGTCCCGTGTTTAGGGATCCTTCTGACAAGTGTCTTAGGCTTCCTGAAGGGCAACTCCAAAGGACCAAGCCTAAACATGTTGCAAGAGTAGGGACAGAAAGGAAGAACAGTTCCCAGCTGAGGGCAGCGATGAGACAACCCCCAACAACCCGAAAAAGTCTCCAGCCTACACACTGAGGCCAGCAAAGTGTAAACCCCATACGGTCAAAGCCCATAAGAGAAAAACGCAAAACCGCCAAAACCCTACTCCGAAGGCCTGGAAGGCTCTACAACATGCTTTCAAACAGAGGCCCCGGCAACCAGGAGATCTCCAGACCTCCCGCCAATGTGAAGACCTTTTCTGCATCCAGCTCTACTCAGAGTCAAGGGGTTGAGGGTTTCGGATTTAGGATTGCGGCAGCCAGCATGCTCAACTGACAAGGCTCCTACCCCAAGGGGCAAGTAAAGCAGCACCAGTCTTGCGAACAAGCAGGGCAATGGCAGAGGATGCTGAAATATGCACAGAACTAACACACGGGATTGCTATCAGTCGCCGCACAATCAACAGCCACACTAAGCATACTAGAACGAGGCTGGCAATAGCAAGACTACTGAAGCTCTTAATCGCTCATACTGGCCAGGCAAAAGAGAGATTGTAGCCAGGTGGGAGTGGCACCAGCACGAGCAGTAGGAGCAGTACAAGCAGCAGCAGCAGCAGCAGCAGCAGCAGTAGTAGTAGCAGCGGTCGTAGCCGCCGTCGTAGCAGTAGCGATGGCAGTAGCAGTAGCAGCAGCAATTGTAGTAGTCGTAGTCGTAGTCGTAGCAGTCGTAGTAGT